AGTGGCCCGGCGCGCGGAGCTGGCGGTACAGCGAGACGCGCGCGCCCTCGGGCACCTCGTGCCCCGGCCCGACCACGACGTCAAAGGAAAGCACGGCGCCGCGGCGCACCGCCGCGCCCTCGCGCACGACCACCCTGTCGCAGAGCAGGGCGGCCTCCACGCACACGCCCGCTTCCAGCCGCACGTCGTCCAGCAGATAGGCGCCGCGCAGGACGCAGCCGGGGCCCACCACGCAGTTGGCGCCGACCACGCTGGCCTCCACCAGCGCGCCGTCGGAGATGATGCTGCCCGCGCCGATGCAGGAGTCGTGGGAGACGCGCGCCTGCCGCGCCAGCTGCACGTGCGAGTCCCTGCGGGGTGTGGAGGGAGTGAGGGATGAGGGGGGCAGGGGAGGGGGAGGCGGGAGGAGGCCTTCGAGGAAAAGGGGGAAGTGAGAGGGGGGAGGAGGCCTTCAAGGGAAAGGGGGAAGTGAGAGGGGGGAGGGGGGCGACAAGGAAGGGGGAAGTGAGAGGGGCAGGGGTCATGTGTTGACTGGGAGGAGTGCACAGGGCCCTGCAACCATGTCGTCACCCCGGCCTAAGACAACCCTCTTTCGTGAAACTCCCCTCCGTGGACACACATGTAGACGTGGCCCCTCCGGAACTGGTACTCCGTCTCCGAGCTCAAGTTGGTGTCGGGGCAGAAGGGGTAGACCCAGCGCGCCAGCACGTCCCTGGAAACTGCGTCGTAGCTGCGCAGGTTGTGCACGCGCGCGGCATACTCCTGGCGGGGTGAGGGAGGGGAATGGGGTGCTTGGCGGGAAGTTTGGCACGGTGTTGTGAGGGGGAAGAGATCTGGATATCACTGGCTGGCCGGGGCAACCGCTCAAATGCGTGCAATCTCAGAGCGCGGGAGCCGGCATGCCAGGAGGGCAGTCCCGGGGCTCCATCAGCAACAGGCCCAGCGCACGTCGCGGAGCTCGTGGACAAAGAGCTTGTTGCCCAGCTCCTCCTCGGACAGGACCCCGGAGACAAAGTCTTTTCGGACGTTCTGGTGAAGGAGGGGGGATGGGGAGGGGAGGGGTGGCAGGGCACGAAGCCGGAATGCTCCTGCTGGGGTGCCTCCTGTGTGTCTCTATCAGATTTCAGCCTGCACGCACTGCTGGGGTGCAGCACACCCTTGCATGTACTGCATCAAACCCCAGACCCCTGGTAGCACCCCCCACCCCCCTTCACAACCCAGTCCACCTGGTAGTCAAAATTGTCGGAAAAGAGCATGAGCACCTCGGGGGCGCAGATGTAGATGGAGGCCTCCACCATGTCACTCCGCACCTGCGAGGAGCGGGGCCGCCGAGTTCCCTTGGGGGCACACATCCGCAATTCACCGACCCAGCCTTCCTGGAGGTGGCGGGTGGTGCGCATCTTCGAGCCCCCAATGAACCTCGCCCGACAGGCACCTCCCCCCACACACGCGGCCGCCAGTCGCCTGCCGGCACCCCACCCCGGCGCTCACCTGCACAGAGTCCCGCTCCGAGAAGAGGGTGGTGTCCAGCACGAAGCGGCGCCTCCGTCGCCGGCGGGCCACATCCACCTCCGCGCCGCCGCCGCCCTCCTCCCTCTCCTCGAACTTGAAGAGACGGCCGGAGGTGGGGTCCATCACCACCGTCGTCGGCATGTCGCCCAGCCGGCGGATGTGCGCGGGCGACAGCCCGCCCCGCATGACCTGGGATTTGCCGGGGGAGGGTGGGGGGAGGGAATGTGGGGTTGGTCAAGGTACGAGGATGGCAGTGGGAGGACATTGCACTCACAGCAGCGCAGGCAGCCCCGCTCACCGCCCCTCCCCTCACCCCACCATGGTCATGATGGAGGCCTTGTCGGAGCTACGGCGCTCCAGGTGCGCTGCCAGCGCTGGGCGCAGGTTCATGTTGGACACGACGTCGCCTATTTGGGGGGGAAAGTGGGGGGGGGTGATGGGACTTACAGCGTGCAGAGTGGGGCGTGTGGGGGGCAGTGGGGATTGACAGGTCCTGTGGTGTGCCAGTCCCATCCCAGGCGATGCACTTTGGGCCCGGGAAACACGGTGCAGGATGCGCAACTCCCTACCCACCCCTCACCAGGCCCTCCAACCGCCAGAACCCACCTGCGACGAGGATGAAGTCCGACTTGACCACGTCCCGGTTGTCCATGACGCGCAGCGCCTCGCCCACCGACAGGCAGTTGGTGGAGACCACGACGTGCACCCTGAACTTGCGAGAGGCCAGCCAGCCCCGGGCCTTCAGGTGCTCCTGCACAGCATCCGCGTGCGCACAGACAAAGATGTGCACCTGCACGAGCGCGTGTGTAGGTATGTGTCGTGATGAGGGATGGAGGGGAGGGGAAGGGTGGCACCAGCTATTACAGCGAGGAAGGTCTTGGGTTCCATGGGCCGCGGCATGCACTGGGGATTGCCTGGTGATTGGGTGGCAAGAGGTGCCCTGCACATGCCATAACTGTCCTGCTGCATTGTGATCCAGGTAAAGAGGCAGGGGAAAGTGACGCAGAGCCTGCCACACTTTCTGCACAACACCAACCACCTACCTCCTCAACATCGTTGATGGCCAGCCACTCCAGAGTGTAGTCCAGCATGGGGGTGTTCACCAACGGGAGGAGCACCTTGGGGCGCTGCAGGGTGACGGGGCGCAGCTTCTGCGGGCGCAGCGGGGTGGGGTGGCAGAGGAGGTGGGTGCATGTTTGGGGAGTGACCGACCAGCCTGCCAGTCCAGGAGCAGGGTCTCACAGACCATCCCTAGCCCTAGAAGTGAAAGCACTGACCTGTGTGAAGCTGTCAGCCAGAACGATGGCCGACAGGGCCTCCTTGGTCTCCAGCCCAACCCCGCCCTTGCGAGAGGGGGGGGCCATTCTGAGTGCACCGCCTCGCGGAAGTGGGGGCGTCCACCGGGTCAGGGGCGTGGTGCCGGGCCAGCCGGGTTGAAAGATTGATACTTAATATCGAAGGTAGCTGATCATTGGGCATCGGTCTCAAGCACACGAGATGTCATGAGCATTGGTCCGGCGGGAGTGACATGGAGGAGGGCGAGCGCGCGATCGCCCAGCAGTGGGTTTTGAACCTGGGAGTGCCACAAGAGGTGCTGGTACCACTCCAGTCCCCTCTTGCTTCCTGTCTAGCTCACCGCTTCCCAATCATCACGATCGATTAGTCCCGAAGCACTCCCCATGACGACACCGGAGGTGACCGACGCCGAGATCCCTAAGGCGCTACTGAAGCGTCTCATCAAGGCCAAACTTTCCACAGTCGCTGGGGCAGATCCAACCAGGGACTACCAAATTCACAAGGATGCACTGCTGGCCTTTCAAGAAGCAGCCAAGATTTTCATCCACTACCTGACGGCCACAGCCAATGACGTGTGCCGGGATGCACGGCGACAGACGATTAGCGCCGAGGATGTGCTAACTGCCCTCAATGACCTCGACTTTGGGGAGGTCACAGGCGAGCTGACGGAAGCTCTGGAAGGTGAGACATTGCGTTTCCAAGGATTGGGCCCTGGTGGGGTGCACCGCAGCATATCGCATGACATGTGATCCTGCGAATAGCCGCCAGCGACCTGAGGGGCTTGAGGCACCAGTCACAAAGCAAATCTGTGCACTGCAGAGCGAACAGAAGGACCTGAGTGTATTGCAGAAGGCTGTATGACGACCTTCCTGCCTCGCACACAGATTTCCGCACTGAGGCGAGGGAGAAGTCAAAGAAGAAGGCTGAGGGGAAGAAGCGGAAGGCCGAAGGTGAGGAACCGTTCTGTGTTCATCTGGATTTGAGACTCTTTGGGGCCCAGGGGAAGGTTGAAAGGTCCTGCATTGGCAGATCGGCTGTGCTAAGGTAAGGCAGACTCACACCCCTCCTGTTCCTTCCTGCCATCTGCTTCAGAGACGGCCGATGCTGGGGAGGGGGAGCAGGCCGGGGCGAGCATGCCTGCCGGTACTCGAGACACAGATGGGGCTGAGCAGGCAGATACTGTGCACGCCCAGCCACCCAGCCAGAACCCAGAGGGGTTGCAGGTTGCCCAGGCAGGGGTTGCCCAGGCAGGGTTTGGGGAGGCAGGGCCGAACCCTGAAGCCCCAGCACCGCCCGTAACGGCCGGCGATTCCCTCCCGACATCCATTGCCCCTCCTGCTGTTAACCCTTCCGCTTGATAAGGCGTGGGGTCGGTGTGCATTAAGTGGAGTAAGCAGCGGTGTAGGAAGCAAAATAGAGCCAGGGAGCCAGCACAAAGGAGATGGGGTGGGCAGAAACTTCCACAGCAGGGGCAGCGCAGCAGCTCCTACTCGCCAATGGCTTCAAGGGCCTCAATCGTGGCAATGCTGTTTCCCCGGATTACGACCATGCCAATGTCAACCTTCAGCTTCTCGTCCACAGTGTTGTCCAGCACAAGGTTCATGAATTGGTCGAACCCCCGCAGCACTCCCGTCACGTGCCGGTTAGCGTTCAGATGAACTGCGGGATGAGGAGCGGGCGGAAGAAAAGCATGGAGCATTGTCAGGTCAACAGTTGCAGTGAGCTGGCCTACTGAGTGATGGTCTCCCAACTCACTGCTCAGCTTCTTCTCCATGAAGCCCTTTAGCTCCGGGGGTTGAATTTTCACCTGCAGCATTTGGGGGAAATTGTCATGCGATGAGTACCACTGATGTGCGCGCAGGACAGGGCAAAACAGGTGTAGCACTTACCATCTCGCTGTGTCTGTCTTGGGAGGCGCGATGAGGGTTGTGCTGCGCAGCCCAGGTACCACCAATGCTTCTATTCAAAGACACCAGTACAAGCTTCCGGCATTTAGGTGGGCTGTGTGGCCTTCAGATTGAGACTGGCTCAGGCTCAGTGTGTCGAGCCCGGCCTCCCCTTTCTTTTGGGCATTCGGGAGCGGCATGGATCCACGGAATATATGCGACAAAGATGCCGTGCCTGCGAGTACTGCAGTCTGAATGAGGTCCAACTCCGAATTTACGGCCTCGGACTCCGACCCACTGATTCGCAGAGAGGTAATTCCCCGCAAAGAACACAAGCCTTGGAGCATACCGACCCTCCTCTGTCCGTACCCCGAGAGTGGGAGGCACCAGTCACCAGCTGGAGCTGCTGAGCACCCCTGGGACCCCATGTCCCTCGGCACCCTGATTGGCCCGTGCCTGCCTGCCGAGTGACAGCCTCGATACCTGCTTCCACCCAGGTACACCCCCGCACCCAACCTGGTACCGGAAGGGATAACCTGAAGGGACCCTCCTGCCCAGGTCTGACCCACTCCCCCGCCTCCCAAACCTGCAGCTACATTTCTTTCATCCGGGGGTATGAAGTTTGCGGCTGCCTTGCGGAACAGCGCGGAAGAGCTGCCCGATGCCGCGGAGCTTTTCACCCTATATAAGCACCTGAAGAAGTCCCTGAAGCGCATCCCCTGCGGCGATGCCGGCCATGACGACTCCAGCCTGGTGGCGGACCCCGCCTCCGAGTTCGGGGAGGCCGCGAGCGGGGACGAGGATGAGGCAGACACCGCCCTGGAGCTGCCCTCCCTGGACGCCTCCGCAGCCACCCTGGCCGACAGCGCCCAGGATGCGGCCGCTGCTCTGGACGAGGGCGAGCGAGCCTTTGTTGCGGAGCTGACGCGGGACGTGGAGCAGCTGAACGAGCAGTACATGGAGAAGGAGGAGGTGAATGTCATCCGCTTTGGCACGCTGAAGGACCAGGTGGGGCGGCGGGGTCGCGGGGTCAGGAGCGGGGTGAGAACGGGGAGAAGCAGAGGGGGAGAGTGATGCGGGTTGCACCTCTGGATTGAGAGTCGGGATGGTGATGACCGGCAATTGCAGGCCTGGCAGCCAGGCACGCCTTCAGCTCCCAGGCAGCCCCAGGTGTTGGTGCAGCAAGCCCTGCCCGCATTGCATGGTTCCAGGGTACACCCAGGAGGGCTCAGCGGGCGCATTATTTGTGTAATCTCACTTGCAATCGCGTGAGGTTGCATGTCATGTAGAGATGCACTGCCACCCAACCCTGACCATCCCAAACCCAACCAACCTCAGGCTGCGGCGGCCAGGTCTCGCCAGGAGCTGCAGCGAGCCTACCGCGCTGTGGTCGACTTCCACGGCGAGCTCCTCCTGGTCCTGCACTGGAGCATCCTGGCATACACTGGCCTTGTCAAGGTGGGCGGCCATGGCCGGTGCAGGGGCGACACCGTGGGCTATCGCGCCGCTGCGCAAGTCTGGCCGGGCAGGTGGCGGTGTGTGGGTCGGCCACGTGCTTCCTCTCGGGCACCGCCCACTGACGCTCGAGGCCCCACCTTGCCCATCGGGGTCGAGCTTCACATACCCTGTCCGTGACGCCTCCCCCACTTCCCCCCCCCCGCCCCCCCCCCCCCGCCCACAGATTCTGAAGAAGCATCACAAGCGGACGGGCCTCCTGCTGCGGGCGCCCCACCTGACCAACATGCTGGGCCAGCCTTTCTGCTCCGTGGAGGTGGGCAATGCCTACTTCGGATGCCGATGGGGAGGGGGGAAGGTTGGGTGGGGTGCTGGGAGGGTGGCAGGGCCCACTGCAGCCAGCCCTGCCTACTGCTTAACCTGCTGGTCATGGTCCCCCTTGCCGCGCTCCGCCTGTGTCCGACGGTACCACCTGGGACTGTGGCGCCTGGAGCGAATCAAGTGCCGCCCTGCACCTTCAGAGCATGATCACCCCTCCTCCACCCCCCCCCCCCCACACACACACACACACACACTCGATGGTAAGCTCCATGGGCAACTCGGGGGGCACCACCGAGGTCAGGATCATGATGCAGTTCAGGACCAGCTTGAACCGATCCCGGTTGGGGTCCTGTGCC